TTAAATCATTTCATAATATTAGACGCTTTTGCCTTAGCCAATTCGTCTAATGCTAATAAATGCAGTTGGCATATCATGTATCTTTATGCCCATTTTATTGATTATAGAGACCTTAAGGGTTTTGTAAAAAAAGTTGCTGATAGAGTTGGAAAACCATACTCAGTTTTTATCGATTTTGACCTTTATAAATCTCGCTTCAGCCTTCGTCTTCTTGGATCGGTAAAGGAAGATAGAATTAAAAGACCTGTGATTTCTTCTGTCAAGGAAGGATATTGCGAGCTAGAAAATTATTTAGTTCAGCCTAAATCCAATTATTCTGAAATCTGGTCCCAAACCTTTTCCTCTGAAAAGTCAGAAAAAGAAAAATTCCAACCCATCGAAGATAAAACTGCCTTAAGCGTGAGAGCTGGCTTGGTTACCGCAAAATATAGATGGCTTGAGGTTGGTGACATTAGAAAGGAATTTATTAACTTTCAAGCTCGGTCATTGAAAGCATGTCCCATTTGCAATATCAAATACGAAAAAGATCAGTTATATGGCTTTCTTCGAAGTAACGGCTGTTTTGTACTCAAATATTATCAGCAGAAAAATTATAAACCAGATCATAAGGGATTAGCGTTTAAAAAAGTGACTGAAGTTTCTGCAAAACCTAAGAGAGGAATAGTCGAAAGAATAGGTGATGCTATATCAAATCCACGTCCTCTTGTAGGATTATCAGAAATGATGATTAATGTAGAAAAATTAAAGGATGCTCCAGAAGTATATTCTGATTTCTTGGGTATTGAGAAAACAACAACACTTATTCGTTCTCCCCCAGAGACATGGAATACCACTGCATTAAGAGAGATTATTATGGCATTGAAAGGCAAGCAAACAGGAGCACATCCCATCCATATTTACTAACCAATAGGTCACAGAGAGAAAAAATAGACCCCATCTTTAAGACGTATTAATCAATAGATTATAATGTCTTAGAATATATTAATTGATAGACTATAACATCCTAGGACATATAAATTGATAGACTATAACATCCTAGGACATATTAATTGATAGATTATAATATTCTAGGACATATTAGTCTTAAACAAGCAGTATTCTAGGATATATTAATATATTAATATATTAATATGTCCTAGGATATTGCTTGAGATTAAAAAACTTTTTACCATTATTTTTGATGAGAACTATTTATAATGTGAAAATTTTGGTCATATATATTTTTCTAATTTCTTATAAGATAATTAATTAATAATTTCTTTTATAATTACTAAGCTCAAAACTTATAATAGTTTTTATTTTCTAATTAAAATAACTTTTATAATATATTATTCTTTAAAATATAAATTTTGTAAGTAAATTTGTCTGTTTATTTATTATAAAATTTAAAAAAAAATTTTTTAAAATTAATTTTATAAATAATATTAGAGTAATATTTATTTTTTAATTATATAATAAATAATTTAAAGTTATTTATAAATTAAAAATTTGTAATTTTTAAAAATTTTTATTAATCTTTGACAATTTTATTAATTTTTACTTTTAGTAATATTAATTATAATATATTATAAAATTTATTATAAAGAATAACTTTAATTATTATATGTTTATAATTTACTAAAAAATTTATAACTTTAAAATAATTTAATTAGTTCACAAATATATGAATATTAAAAAATAATTGTAATAAATATTTTAAACTTAATTTTAAATTGAATTATTTAAAAAAACTTTTTAATAAACTTAAATTTTTCTAAAAAATATATAGTAAACTATATTTTTTATATAATAATTATATTATTAAATTAAATATTTTATATTTTATTAAAAAATTAATTCTTTTATTTATATTGTAGGCAAATTTACTTACGTTACAGTTTAAAAGATATTAAAATTAGTAATAATTTTAATATTTTATTTTAATAAATTATAATTTTTATATTTTTTAATTAATTTATAATATAAAAATTAATTATAATAAAATATGGATGAATCTAATATAATAACATATTATATATTTTATTTGTAATAATCTTAATTTTATTTAATTAAAATATAAGATTAAATGTAACGTAAATAATAATTTAGCAAAAAAATTTTTTTTAAAAATTTCAAGAAACTGTTTGTAACTGAAAATTTTATCTATAAAATTACCATTTATATATTAAATAAAAGTTTTTCAAATTAAATTTTACATATAAAAATTTTGTTTATAAAATATTTAGAATAATTTATTATTAAGAAATAAAAAAGGTTATTATAAATAAGATATATAATATGTTATTATAAATACATCTTTCCATAAAATAATAAATAACTTTTTACTTAAATAATAAATAAAGAAATTAATATAATTAATAAATAATTTTTATTTTATATATTATTCAAAATTTAATTATGAGTTATTATAATTGCTTTTAAGTTTATAATTAATTTAAATTAAATAAATTATAAAATTAATTCAAGAATTTTAGATATTTATAAGATAATAAGAATTTTTTAAATTATAAATTCTAATAAGTAAAGTCAATATAAAAAAATTAAATAAATAAACTTATTAATAATATATATAATAATTATAATTAATTTAATTATTATATAAAAAATATATATTAAATTAATTATATTATAATTATAAAGATTATTTTAATATAATAAATAATTAAAAATATTAATTCTTTATTTAAAATTTTACTAAAATTTTAAATTTTAATTATTTATTAATATTATTTTAATTTTATAAATTTTTATATTTTAATTATATAAATATTTAAAAAAGTCTTTTAAAATAAAAGCAAAATTATATATTATTAATAAGATAATTTATTTTATATATAATTAGTAACTATTATATTATATTAAGAAATTTTAATATAATAAATAAGTTTACTTATATTATATTTAATTATACTAAAATTTTATATTAAATATTTGATTTTTTTTTTTTGTTATAGATAATTTTAATTGATTTTAAAATTATAATAAAATGTAATATTATTTTAAAATTAAATTATTTTTACCTTTAGAAAAAGATTTGGAGATCTTTATTAAATTAATGTATTGATATTTTATTTAATAATTATCAAATTTTTATAAATCCTACTAATATTTATTTCATTTTTTTTTTATTTATTATCTAATATTTATTATTAATAATTGCTTGACATTACATTATTAAAACTTTTATATAGAATTATACATTAAAACAATATCATCTTTTTAGTATACTGAAAAATAATTACTTTATTTTATTTTAAAATCATTTGTAATGAAATGCAAAACCATAATTTTTTTGATTTTAATTCAAAAATTTTCATAGTTCTTATATAAAACAATTTTGATTAAAATAATAAATAAAGACCGAAAATTTATTTAAAATAACTTAATAATTTTACAAATAATTTTAATACAACAAAAAATATGAAAGTGTTGTAATTAATGATTATGATAAAAAAGAAAAATATATTACATACTAATGAATGATATAAATAAGTTTTTTTTACAAAAATAAAATTTAATGAATAGAAAAGTAATATAAATTATTTCTTTAGTTGATAATCTCTTCAATTTCTAACTTCCAAATTTTTGAACCTTCCTAAATTAAAAAAAATTTATTAAAAATGAATATCACTATGATCAAATACTAATGAAAGAAAATAAATTTACCTTGTCTTTGTTTTGTTTAAGGTTTTTATATTTAGTTGCACATTGCCCAGCAGTAAAATTGTGGTTCTTTTCGTTTAACATTCGAGAAGCACCCTCCCAGAGAGTTTCTTTAACTTCATGAGCGATTAAGCCACGTTTTGGTAATTTCCAAACCATTTTCTTATGTTCTTTCAAATATTCAAGCAATAATTTAGTTTGCTCATCATTCCATATAATACGTTTCGAACTTTCATTTATTTCTCTTTTTCTTTTTTTCGAACTTTCATTTTCTTTTCTTTTTCTTTTTTTCGAACTTTCTTCATTAGATTGGCTTTCAATTTCATTAAAAGTTTCGATTTCAGATGAGCTTTCTTCATAACTTTTATAGGATTGGAAGTCTAAGGAAGAAATATTATAGAGAGATTTTTTTTCAAAAGATCCTTGAAACTGATTTTCAACGAGTTGGGGAAAATCCATAACGATATAGTGTTGACCCGTTTCTTTTTCAGTAAAAATATTAGGACATTCAACGAAATTCAAAGAATTGTAGTTTGGTGATAAATAACCAGTCAAATCGAGTTTTAATTGCTCTACAAAATCTTGTTGACATTGTTGTTCAAACTGTTGAAATTCTATATAATTACGATGTTGATATTGATAAAGCTGAATCTTTCGACAAATAACTTCATAGCTTTTGTTAAGGTCACCTTGAAGATGATAATAGGTAATAACATTATCATCCAGAGGGGCAATGCTATCGTCTAATGCATAATTTGATGGAATTTCTTTATACAATATATGATATTGTTGTAAATAAATTAATGCGCGTTCAGTTATCATGTCATTATTAAGGTCTTGAGCATTAACTGACGTGTTGTCAAACGCCATATTTTAACTATAATTTTATGAACAAATTTTTTGGAAGAGCTAAAAAAAATTTGGGTTGCCTTTTTTTTAAAGGTTTTATACTTATTTCTTTGAATTGGATTCAAATTGATTCGGATCGATCCAATCTCTTTACGAATTTCATCGTAATTCAATCGGTACAACAAATAAGTAATTGTGGTTATTAATCCCTTTTTTTACTGACTTTTCCCATATATCAAATTCAATTATGATGGTAGTTTATTCGCATTGTAACATGAAATAAAGTGCTGTGAGAAAATAATCCTTCGGAGCATATCTTTCATTGGTATGTAATACGTTTGAAAGCGTTTGATCACAGTTTATCTATCAATGCATATTATAATTATCTAACATCAGTAATCCAATCCATTACGCTTTTTGCATTAGGTTGGGACACAAAAATAACAACCATTTATAATGACAATGATCAAAACCAAATGTAAATTTGAATCGAGCACGTGGGGTGACAATAATCCAATACAAAAGAAGTTGAGTTGTCACAAATCCAAATCCGAAAGTTAGTTTCTTAACCGGTAATTTTTTTTTTTTTTTTTTTTTTTTATGAACAATAGAATACATAAGATTAAATTAAATGCACAAGAGATCTTTGCTTAATAATGCAACAAATGATCGGGGAGGGGTATTGTATATATCATGTGAAATTAGTATATTATATAAACAAAATTTTATAGTGAGTTATATGTCCAATGAAAATTGAATAGGACCCATGCAATTTATACTCTAAATTGGGTTAGAATTCTCAACGACTTCAAATTTAAATAAATTAAATATTATAATTTTAAAGAAATGCATCATGATGAATATGTGATCAAAATCACTCAATTTATATGAAATTAGTAAATGATTAATATGAATTTTTGCAAACAATTAACTGGGAGATACTACAAAGACCAAAATATTCTCCACCAGGATACTTTAGGGATGATTTTCTATCCAACGGTGTTTACCTTAAAAAAAAAAAAAAAATGAAATTTATCAACTGTATTTAAAATTAATATCGACAATAATTAAAGTACGTTTAATGCAACTAATTATTTTATCAGATGTAATGTTAAGTTTTTAAAAATAACCTCGTGACATCCAACTAACCAACTATTTAAACACTCTTTATCGTTTCTAGATTTTTCTCAGAAAATTCTTGTCGTTTTTGTTCAATCTTGAATCCAAGCATAACTTCGTAAATCGTTGAAGTAAATAGTGTAAGAGGTTTTAAATGATAAATAAATGTATAACCATGGAAAGTTAATAATTCAATGTTATTTTGATGATATTTCTTAAAGGTGAAATTAAAATCATTTTTACAAGAGGACAATTTCTTGAAAATTAATGAAAGATGATTCATAAGTGTATTTTTACCTTCAGCTCATATTATACAATATGATGAAGAATCCAAGCTTGATTAACTGCTTTATTTATAAGAAATTGAAAATGGGTTTGAGGTCATTTTAATATACAATTGTTATCTTTTATTTATTTGTGAAAATAATTCGAATCGAAATGCGAATGTGTAAATTATCCCAATCCAAATCTAATGAGCTATCCATATTTAGAAGTAGGCCAGGTTGTTCTATTTTACTTTGGATTGTTGATTTATTAATTTACACGGATCGAAATCGGGGATCGTCAAAATCCAAAACCTTTTAAAAGGAATTCACTGGAAATGGGTTGTAAAACGTCACCCACACTTTATTTAGATTAGTACATAAGATAGAGTTTACAATGGAGTAATACAGATTGAGTAATGGTTTCGGAAACCATTGTGTGATACGGATTGGATTCTGATCATGATGGCAAGAATCAATATTGTTCTATTTTTAAACGAAATTTGGTACAATTTGACTTAATAATAAAAATTTCCGCAAGAAAAACCGAAAACGAAATTTCAAATATCAAGCTAGAAATTTATGTTGGATTAAAAAACATTGTTTTTTTGTCTCGCATCAATGGATTTTATAGCACCGTTAGACAAATATACATAAAAAAAATCACGTATCATTTTAGAGTTTCATGTTACAAAAATTGGCGCTAATATAAATGCCTTAACATCCATTTATATAATATTAGATGCGATCATTAGTTACATGAAATATTTTGAATTGGATGTTTTCAGGTTTGACAGCCTAATTATATAAATTAATTTATTTAGATTGGACCGACGAAGATGAAAATTGACAGGAGAATTGGATCGTATCAAGTCTATCTTATTATAGTAAATTGTCTCACTTATAAAATACTTGAAATTTGATGATATCATGATTTTCTTTTTTTCTTTAAATTCTCAAATTCAATCACAAGTTACAAATGATATTCACATTACTATATGCAACCAAATCACACCCAACAGATTGTTCAAATACTTAGCTTACAGCAGCATATCTCCCAAAATTTTCAAGAAGGTGAAGGTAATTTTAACAGTAACACATAAACATAATGATAATCTTTGCCCGAACTTAGTATATACCTATCTTTTTTTCTCCACAGTGTTAGCTACGGCATACTCCTTTATGGAGGAATTCTAGCTTTATCACTATCGAAACTTATGAATGCGACAACTCTCTAAAGCAAAAATTAAATGGACGAAGGTTCCCGTGCTCTTATTGCTTAAATTTTTGGAATAACGTATAGAAAATGTTAAAAAATTAAAAAGCGAGTGTTACGGCAAAGAAAGTTAAAAGGAAAATTATGGAATGTTGTCACAATTACAAATATTCTGCAAATAAATGTGCGATTAAGTGGAAGAATGTTAAGCAGAAAGATTGACCGAATACTCAGCAAAGATAGTTTTTACAATTTGTTTTTTTCTTTCTACGTAAAATGTCATGTAATCGTAAATTTAAATAGTTCAAAATAAAAGTTTTTCAATTAATATTGTAAGTTTGTTTTACTTTATGTTTTTATGAAGAAAACTAAGCTTATACTGACGTATATTGAATACCATTTAAATATATGGAAAAATGAGATGATATTTTCTAAATTCTTAAACTTTTTTCTTAAAAATCTTGAATCGATTCGATAACAATGATTTTGTCCTTTCACTCAAAAACAAAAATTTTTATTTTTATTTTCACCATTTGAAAGTTTATTATAAATGTGCTTTAACCTTGAGTACTCAACAATTTTTATTAAATTTGGATTATAATTTTTATTTTTACAGAAATTTGGAATTGAACAAATAATAAATTTACACTAAAAATGTACAAATTAAGGTTTTGAATTTCAAAACTAGTTAAGAATATAATTAAATATATATAAACCAAACTTTTTTTTATATTAAATATATATAAACCAAACTTTTTTTTATAAGAATATAAAATAATTAATGAATAGAATTCTACACCAGAAAATCCCATTTGATTTCGTAGACGCCCATTATGCCAAATAACATGTATTTCTTTGTTATTAGGCGCCTGTTATTAATGAAAAAAATTTTCCGATATTCCCCCTTGAGTTTTCCGGTAGAATTTAAAACAAAACAGAAAGATCCTCCAGAAATTAGGATGTCCGCTATGGCAGAATAACCAGTATTTCTTTTCCATTAGACGGTTTTTATGAGTGGAGAAATTTAATTCGGTCTTCCTCTTTGAGTTTTCTGGTAGAATATCAAAGAAATCTCATTAAAAGGCTTGATATCAATATCGCATTTGTTAATATTTAATTGATCAATACTAGTTTCTTGAGTACGAGTATCAATTTTTTCATTATTATCAGACATAATTTCAATTTAATGTGCGTAGATATTTTTAATATTTTGTCTTTGGCAGTAAAAATTATTTAAAAGATATGATAAATTTGGAGATATTTATATCGGATTGGATGTCGATTTATTTAGTTGAATTGTAATACATGATTTTTTCTTTTTGCATTCAGGATCATTTTTCGCCTTGCATGCAAAATCCAAATCATTTCAACAATCCAAATGAGTACAATCTTATTGGTGAGTAGCACAAATAAATAAAAATCAGGTTTAAATTTAATCCCTTTTTTGAATTGGATTAGATTTAAAAATTGTGTGGCACGACAGAGAAAAAAAAATTGTTTGTCTGTTATGTGAGAATTGGATTACTTGTAAATTGGATTACTTGTATTGTAACGCAAGAACCACCACATTCGTCAATAAATGATTCGTCGAACGACTAACATATGTAAATATTATTTACTACGACTTTAGGATTTCATTTTTTGGTGTAATACCGAAATAAAAATGTAAAAGTACATTTAGCTCAATGTTTGCCATTCACTAAAGAAATAATTATGTAGAAGTAATAATTAATATTTTTGAGAAATAAGTATCTACTGTAGAGCCCTGACTATAGTGCTCCCAAGTATAATACCCTCCCTGGTTTTGGGTACAATTTTGTTAAATTATAATAAGAGATTTTTATCTTGACATTTTGGGAGGTTTGCTATTAAAATCACATTACGAGGGGTCATATGATTTACTATATTCGTAACTCGATTTAATAGCAAAACTCCCGTTGATTAAATCGAAAATTTATTATTTATAAGTAACCAAAATCCACATATTTAATTAATATATAGGCGATTTGCAATAGAAAGGAAGAAAACTCTTTGTCAAATTAATATAAAATTTATTTGTTTTGTTTTTTTTATCACGCAAAGTAAATTAAATTTTCTTCCAATATTATAACTCAATTCATCAGAAAATTCATCATTTTGAATTCATTGTTTTTATAATTTTCTTTATCTTTTATAAATAATTATCTTAATCAAATATTATATCATTCTTACTATCATCAATTTTAGTAAACTATTATAACATTTAAATCTCTACAAATTAATTTAGCATTAATATTGTTTAATGTTATTTTTACCTATAAACATGTCAAAAATAAAATATTTTTTAAAATATGAATTTGCATTTGTTTCAATTATTGTAAATTTATAAAACTATAAATAAAAACCAATTAAATTAAATACTTAAATTAAATCATAATAAATATCATATGGAACTTTGCAATAGAAAGGGAGAAAACTGTCAGAAAAATCAATTTTACTTTATATATCAAATATGATTTTAAGTCAAAATATATTCAGATTTAAAATTAATTCAATTTTTTATTTTTTTCTAGTTGTTTTCCCCTTTTCTATTGCAAGGTCCTATATATGAGAGAAAATATATGATTTTCAAGTCATAAATAAAAAAGAAATATATTTAATAATTAAACATATATCCTTTTATAAAGATAGAAATATAAATAAATTAAAACTTATATAATATTCTATTATTTAAATATCAAGAAATTTAAAAGTTTCTTTAATCTAAAATCTAAAAGAATTTGTTTAAAAATATACATTTTAACTTTCATATATTCTAAAGTATATTTTTATAATTTAAAAATTAAACAAGTTCTTCATATTTTAAGATCTTATTTAATTATTTTACTTAAAGGATTACAATTAAAAAAAATTTAAAAAGTAATTTTATTTACAAATAATTATTAAATTATTAATTTAATAATAATACACATAGAGATAAGCTATTAAAATCACATATATATTATATCATTTATTATATTTATAACTTAATTTTAATAGCAAATATTTATATTTTAAAATTCTATTTTTATGTTAATTAAAAAAATGCAATTTTAATTTTTAAATTAAAATTTTAATTAAAATAAAAAAAATAATAATATTTATCTTTTAAAAAATTTATTTTAACTAGAGGTCCGAATCGGTCAAAAATTTTGTATTTGATTAATCAATCGTTCATAAAATTTATAATCAATTATTATTCAAATTAATCGTTGATTAATGACGATTATTCAATTT